AAGTACGGTTGGCAAGTCTTATAAAAATGTGACATCTGAGTAATTCACACAAAAATAGCTCAATGTTATGGGAAGATTTGCTTAATCTAGTGCATTCTTTGATCTTTGTCTAAATTAAGTCAGTACCCATTGTATATTAATGTTTATGCTATAATAATCCTTGGAATTGATACAGCACCTTATCACATTGTTGAAATTTCTCAAAGTGCTTCGCAGAATATACTGTAAAGTGTATTTTGTGGGCAAAATGTGGCAGCCAATTGCACGCAGCAGTGTCTCACCAAAAGTCTTCAATTTATTTTCATCTGAAGGAGTGTTCAGTAACCGGAAGAAATTCCCTTTTTGAATCACGTCACAAATAACATCTGCCTCCAAGACAGATGGGGTCAAATCAATATCGTAGGGATGTTAAGGTGCAACAGTGTAGATCAAAGCTCTCCTAGTATCTCACTGGAATACCTTATCTTGTCGGCCTGAACTGTGAGCTGAAGTTTAGTTAAGTATTTGCTAAATTAAGCAAACCATGAGATTGGGGAAAGAGGAAAAAACCTTGCAAAATGATCATATTTAATGCGTCTGTGGCATCCTCCAATGAGAAAGGAGTCCAAACAGAACTATTACTAATTGAATATTCATTGGATTATGCGTTGGTGCCTAGGAGTTGTTTTATCTAGTCCTAGTGAATTCTGCATCTTGCACAGATTTGAAGATTTAGTGTGTTTCAAGTCCTTATAATTGCACATGCCTGTGTTTATATGAAAAAGTGCATTGCCCACTTAAATCAAGTCTTCTTATCCATTCCACATTAAGCTGGAGATGTGAAATTAACCCAGTAATTAACTTCTCCACCTTGTAATTGAAATGTCTTACTTACAAATAACAAAACCCTTCTTTCCTTTTCCTACACCGAACCCACATCAGTGTTGTGGATGGAGTAGCAAACAACAAATCTTTAGTGGATAATTTTGGTCAAAGGAATTGTTGTTCAATTACTTTTTATGAAAAACACAAAGAACTTATTTTTGCAGATCAACTTCATCTGGTATCTCTGGAATAAGATAGTTTTTATCCGTGTGGCATTGGGCAATGTATTGATTTTATGACTGGGTCAATTATATAGGCTTTCTTCTCAGAATAGCTTAATTTCCAGTGGGGTAATTAGCTTGTGATCTCCAGGCATTGCCATGGTTTAGAATTTATAAGATTTAACAATGAACAACTTTTTAAGTAGGGTTAGGTTTTAACTTGTTAAATCGGATCACAACCAGATGACTTTCACAGCCAGATGTAAACCCCATAGTTACATTATATATTCAGGTTTGATAGTTTTGGAATTAAGGATTCCAGATTTTTTTCATCTGCTTCTTTCTTCAATCCACAACTGTTTGCGAGACACTGCTGTGTGCCGCATTTCGCCCACAAAATATAGTCAATTCACTTTACAGTAAATTCTGTGAAGTGCTTTGAGATGTCTCTGAAGATGTGATAAGGTGCTATAATCAAATGTAAGTATTATTATTCCCCCGCTCCACAAACTCAGGCCAATGGGCAGCTATGGAACTGTATCTCAACCTTGTACCTTGAAAGGACAAACTTTAGCATATTCATTGCTAGAATTGTTTTTCTATCAGAAAAGACCATTAGGAATTCTAGATTCAAGTGCATTTAAATCTTTTTAAAGTGCTGGTGTGCTGTAGACAATTTAACAAAGTGAAACTGCCTTTCTGATGGGAAGAGTGAGCTTTGGAACTTTTTTTGAATCATTGATCTGTGTCTGTATGCTTGCACAAGATTGAGGTAACGTCATGTTGCCCATATGATCAGTTGTGGTTTAGCCACTCCTCAATCACCTTTAGAAATCAAAACGTGTTGTACAGGATTTCAAAGCAATTCGCTTTCATTTATTGTATCCTCTCCATTTAAATGTAGCTACTGACTCGAAAGGTGGCCTTACAGGAGTTTAATTTTAAAATATGTTGCCATGTAGATGAAGCATTGGTGTTTCCTCTTGTACAACTAGGCGTTGATTGAATTTTAAAACTTGCGGTTGCCTTCGGTTACATCAGATTTGTCACAGAAAAAAATATAGGGAGAATTTAATATTTACATCAAGTTTATAGTTCTGTACAATTACACACCCGCATTGTCTAATTTAGGGCAGGATTGTGAACTGTGGGCTGTTACTTTAAGAAATGGACTTCATCCCTGTAATAAATGCATAGTTTCAAGTCTTTGGTTCTGATCCCAGGCTGCTTGTCCCAGAACAGAACACTGACTAGAGATAGACAGCAAATCAAAGACTTCTTTTTGTCTGTTCTCATTTATGGCATAGCTTGTTCTGCAACATATGTGGCGATCTAGTTTTGCTCCTAGTGCAGTTTTTGTGATGGTTGAATTCCAGGAATATAGTTTGAAGTATGAAATACATTGAGAACCATCATACAGTTCCCACTGTATCTTTGATGGAACACTGAAACTGATGTATTTTTATTGTTCTGCAATGTACACACTGGAAATGTACTGTAAACATTTTGTCCACACTGCAATTGTAATGAAACCAGGAATGTATGGTCTTGCCTGTGCAATTTGGAGGAGACGCCAAGGCTGTTTTTTTCAACAGAGAAAAGGGGAAGGTTAGTACAGTACAGATTTGTACATTCCTTTACATAGCTGCGTTGGCAGACTTCTGTGAGCATGATAATGAGAAGAAACATATGTAATTGAATTTAAATCTAGGTGCTTTGCATTCTTTCACAAATCAGAGTGCACAAGAATGCAAATCTCAAACCAGTTCTGCAACCATTTCTCTTTTTGGGGAGAGAATATAATTTTATACTCTTGGATACAGACCACCTCAATTAAGACTTTTTCCAGGGATGCACCAGTTAAGTATTCTGCAAATCATTGAGCAAGTTCAAGGCTGTAAATCTTCTTACACTATCGTTTGAGGAAATGCCCTTTACCTAATTAAAATGTCCAGCCATTTCAAAATGTTTGCAAATCTGTTGTCACTTTCTTAAATTTTTTTATAAAACTTGATGAGTTTATCTGAGATTTTATGATAAACTTTCCTATACAGTGTTGGTAACAAAACCAGAATGTCCTGATGGAGTTCTGCTCTGAGACTGCTGAACCACAAGGGCATGAAGTCATTGTAAGTGGATTTTAATGGGTGAGGCTTTCCAGTCTCCTACTGTTCCAGAGGGCTTCTTTTCTTTACTCTTGAGCATATCTTAATTCCTGAAGCACTACTTTGGAGAGTTTTAAAAACATTTTCCTGCTGAAGAGAGTAAATTCTTTTATTCCCTCTTCATGCAGAGTGAGAAATTGAAATGCCACATGAGGAGTCCCGTAGCTCAGTGGTTAGAGCATTCGCATTGCAAGCGAGACACCTGGTTCAATTCCAGGCAGGGCAACATCTTGGGCAAGTTTCTTTACTCCACACGCCTAACAATAATCCCTCCAAAAAATAAAGCAATAATAAATTGGTCATTTTCAATCCACGACTGTTTGTGGGGACGCTGCTGTGCCCAATTGGCTGCTGCGTTTCGCCCACAAATATACGGTCAATTCACTTTACAGTCTATTCTCTAAAGCGCTTCGAGATGTCGAAGACGTGAAAAGCGCTATATCGCTTGCAAGGATTATTATGAGACGGACCAGCAGAACGTGAAGAATTGGAAAAGTTTTTTGACTGGCTCAAACTCCACAGCTTCTTGGCACTATTTGCATACTGATGGCAGTCACTGTCTTGGATGGGAT